CCCTGAGGGCTGCAAAATTAGAGCCCTGCTTTGTTTACCGTAAGCTTTTCTTTAAGTTCATTTCAGAAAACTTAACCTATTAGAGACCAATTCTGGAAATATTTAAATTGTAGGTATTAGAAGTATTTACATCTACCTGTGAAACAAGAGCTCTGTGCCTACCTACAGAAAACGCATTGTTTGATGTTAAAATGCATCCCCCCTAAAACAGATGCACCCGATTTTAAACTATCTTGCCAAAGTTCCGTAGAGAAACATTTATCATTGGCATTTTACAGCTGCACCGTCTTCCTCTCAAAACCTACAGTTACTGAGTATTAGGGTTGTAACCTTAACTGACACCAAATTTAGAGTTCCCTATCTTCGTGCATTTTTAGTACAGCTGTATCTGTATAAGCTGCACTTCCCACAGTGGTACCTCCTAATCAGCATATAAAATAGATAGTACAGGCTGAAAAATGAGTTGAGTTAAAGGGGGAACCCCACATACTTTTCCTCAACAGCACACGCCGTAAAAAACAAAACAAAACACATTGCAGAGCAATTTCTTAAATCTAGACTTTTATAGTGCTTACAAAAAAGATGCTACACGTCATACTCAAGTCTTTGAGCTTGTAAACGTTTAACACGCAACGCTATAAATTAAATGAAAAGCCTCCCCTGAAATTCCATCCTATAAAACCATACACTGCTAGAAATATGAAAGGTTACTCTCATCAGGCAATAAAAAAGGAAGGATACATGCTTAGCCAGAGAAACTTGAAGTTACTTCTTGACCATAATTACCTTTCCCTTTACGAAATTAAGACTAGGACGCCACTGATGATTGAAGACAGACAATCTTGTTGCTGATTACAGAGCATTAGGTCCAGAACAATACCCTAATGCCTCCTTTACACGCTCTGGCAGAAGGAAGGTCAGAGATAACGCTAACAACACCAAGCCAGCCGGAGGTCTGAAACCCTTCCGGGGACCTCTGCTCCGGGCAGCCGGCGGTTGCCTTAGCTTTAAACACGCACTCTCTGTTGGCCGTTCTCCGGCTTAAGCAGAAGACGATAAGAGGAGGACGATAAACTCCTCTTCCCCCCACCCCCCAAATAAACAGAGCAAACCACAACGTATCGAAGGAGTTTATTAGAAAACAGTCGATTCTCTCAGAAACACTTTTTGGGCGAAGCCGCGC